CCATGCCTTAAAGCGAGTCATACATTTTGGATACTAATAACGTAAATTATATTCTTCATATTATTATACTCTATTCTTTCTTCATATTTCACTGCCCTCCTGCCCGCCTCCACTCTGACCTTATCCACCTTTACCTCTTCCCTCACTATATACCCCGGTGTTTCTCTCGCCACCCCAAGCGCCCATCACCAATATCTAGCTTGCACGTCCTCCAGCCTTGCCTACTCTCTCCATCCCCATACCTCTGCCCCGTACATCATGACATTGCTAACCAGACCTTCAAACGTAATCTTCCTCGTTGCCACATTCCTTCCAAAGATTCTCTTCCCCCAACCCCATACTTGTCCCATCACCTTATTCGCCTTTTTTGCCACAGCTATCACATGCGACCCCTCCCTGTTGTCCTCCCTAAACACATACCCCAAGTAAGTATATTCCCTAACCTCCTCGATCTCTTTTCTGGCTCAGCGGACATCCCTGCCTCAGTCCCTTCGTTGTCCAGAACACGTCGCTCAGCTTATCTCCCACTTTTATCCTAGCCATAGTCTCCATGTATATTTCCTTCACTCTCACAATTAGGTGTTCCGTGATCCCCCTCCTTCCCATCTCCTCCCACAACTTTCCCCTATCCACCTTATCAAAAGCCGCCTTCAAATCTATAAACAGGGCGTACAATTTCCCTCCCTTCTTATCCAGCTCTCTATCTGCCAGATGCTTCAACACGTACACGTTGTCGATTGCTCCCCTTCCCTTCTGAAAGCCTGCCTGCCCATCCGGCAAAATTCCCCCAATTCCATCTCCTCCTTCAGTCTTCCCAGCAGTATCTTCGTGTATAGCTTGTATGCCGAGTCTAGTAGGTTAATTCCCCTGTAGCTCTCTACCCTTCCCTTATTATCCTTTTTATATACTGGGCAAATTACCCCCACTTTCCATCCCTCCGGAATCCCACTCCCTCTCCATACGCTATTCATCCCCTCCAACAACTTCACTCTCACCACCCTTGATGCTTCCAACCATGCCTCGTTCTGGATCCCATCTTCCCCTGGCGCCTTTCTCTTCTTCAATCCCCTAAACACTGCTTCCTCTTCTACTATCTCCTCTCCCCCATCTCCCTCATAGCCTCCCAAACCCGTTAGCCTCGTTTCAACCCCTCCCAATAATCCCATAAAGTAACTCTTCCATTCTGTCATGTGTATTTCGCTGGTTATCCTCTCCCTACCCTACTTTCTCTTTTTCAGATACCTCCAGACCTCCCCTTATCCACCCCTATCTTCCCCCGTCTCCACTGCCTCAACTTCCTTCTCGCGTCCCTCTTCGCCTTCTTGCACTCGCCATCATACCAGTCGTTCTTCCCTACTCTGCCCCCCCTACGTACACACTCCCTTTTCAGTGTTGCCTCCCGCACTACCTGGATAAGTTCTTCCAAACCATTGATCTCTTGTATCCTCTGTTGTCAAGTGTCGAGGTTTCCCCTGTAGAATGCTACCCTTTCTTCCTACCAGTCTGTCCTGATGAACTTGCTCCCCAGTTCCGCTCGCCTTCTGCCGTCCACCCCCTTTACCTCCACCTCCAACGGTTGGTGATCCGACTCTACCGCTTCTCCCACTTTAAACCTTTCCACCCTTTCCCACATTTCCTGATCCACCAGTACATAATCAATCACAGATGTCCCCCTCGCCCCGATATAAGTATACTCCCCTTCCTCTCCTTCCTCTTTATTCCCATTCAGTATCTCCCATCCGTTCTCCTCCACCCATCTCAGCATTTCTGTTCCTTCTCCATTCCGCACAGTATCCTTCGACCGCCGTCGTCCCTCCTCCCGTCTAGTTTTTTGATAAAATTCCTTGCTGCCCTCTCTTCATGTCGTCATAATTAATACTTCTCTTCACCAACTCCGCCGCTATCTGGTATTCCCCACAGTTTCTATCCCTCGTTTCGTGTCTGCCATCCTTCCCCCTGGCTTTGCAGTTTGCACATACCGCCTCTCCCTCCCTATTCCCACAGGTCTTAAACTCGTGGCCCTTTTCCGTACAATGCCCACATACCATCTCCGATTTGCAGAAACGTTGGAGATGTCCGAAACCCTGGCATCTGTAGCACCTCTTCACGTCTATGAAATCGTCAATTCTCAGTGATGACAACCTAATATATACACTGCCAAACCTTGTAATCTCCCTTCTCACTCTCCCTAACACTTCCATAATATAATTTACCACCCCCTTTTCCCTTCTGCCCGTCTTGAACAATATTCTGGCCTCGTTCTTGAAGTCATGTCAACCTATCTCAACCCCTTGCTCAGTGTTTTTACCCCACAGCTGCTCCAATAATACCCCCTCGTTCATCTCTCTGTCCACATCATAGAGTATCACCTTAGGCCACACCATTGCTGGTTCCCGTATCGTTATGTCCTGGCCCCCGATCTTATCCCTTACCAATTCAACATCCGTCCCCCATTCGATTCCCCCTTCCATGTACCCTCCGTGTCCATTCCCGAGGAAATCATGCTCATCGGTCTCTTGTATCTAGGTAGGGTAGGTGACGAGTAAAAGTGTTACCGTGTAAGACCGAAATCTGGTAAATGTCAATATCCCCTAGAAAATGTCAACATTCACAACTCGCAATACGTACACTGTTAATTAATTATCGTACCCGACGTCATCATTGCAAGTATGCAACCAATATCACAGTATTCGTATTGCAATACGCAAATCGCGTTATTGGTTGCATACTTGCAATGATGACGTCGGGTACGATAATTAATTATTACACTGTATGTCCGAAATATTAGTATGGTAAAAATTGGTATATCATGATTTATTATAAAAATATATATATAATATAATAAGACAGTTTGTGGTAATAACAAATAGACACAAACAAATTAATATTAATAATAAATCTACATGTACTATGCACTTTGAATTGCACAAGAGTGCTTTGCATTTACAGTTATATTTAGTCGTAGCTCACTTCTTTATGCACTTACAACGTATATAGACCTATCCTTCACTTTTCGAATTAGCTGAAGCTGCCAACGATATTTCTCGATTAGAAATTTCATCCATGGCAAGTAACTTTTCTTTACAAATTACGAACTGATTACGGGTAAAATGTTGCTTAAGGGTACCATTTTTATTTGCTAATAGAGGAACTTGTATTTGTACGGTGTCACAAATTTGGGCAGGCGGAAATTTTTTTTGTTGAGGTTTTTAACATTTTCTTTGCTTGGAGTAAAAGGTTTTCTTTTGCGGTTGACTTTTTAACAGAAATTAACTCGTGATGTTCAGTTAATGCTTTAAATGAAGACATGCGAGGTTGCAGCACCTCTTCAATAGAATGTTGGTTGTCCTCATCAATGGTTCTCCTCTTCAATAGAATTTTTGCTATCGTCAGTTCCAATTGGAATATGATCACTGCCCAAATTTTTTTTGAAACAATTAACGATTTCTTCGAGCTGTTCTTCAGTTTCAATATTTGAAAATTGTTTTCCAGGTAGAGATGAGGATGCTATGCCTCCTTTTGGTTTAACGCCAAACAACGCTTTATATGAGTTCTGGCGTATTCCTTCATGATGAGTTATGTTTTTGGTAAATTGGACGAAAGGCAAACCTGCTGACCATTTCTTTGAATCATTATTGGGTCTTTCGGCTGAGTCTTGTGTATGACTATGACTAGGCTTTCCATGAACTATCTTAACGTCCTTTCACATACTACATAGTGCGGATTCAACTCGATTACTACATTCTCTGCCATTAGCCGAATGTAATATCGCTGGGACACCAAATGTTACGAAACTATAAAGCCAGTGGCATGCTACTTCTTCTGCTCTTTTAGTTTTTAGTGGACGTAAATGGACAAACTTTGTTAAGTGGTCCTGATATACTAATACAGGGTCCGGCAGTGAAAAGGAAAGATTTGAGGTAGGGTTTACAGCGCGCCGCAAAGTGATGGGGAAGAAAGTAGTCGACTTGCCAAGACCTGCATGATTTGCCATTCAGTTTACAATGGAGCGTTGGACAGGTGAGCATCGCGGTTACGTAGTTAAAGCCTATTTTCAAAATGGTGAGATTTCGTCAAATGGAATCTTCGGTCCATATTTTTTTGAGAATGATACTGAAAATGCCGTTACCGTTCATTTTGTACAACACGTTGCAATGATTCAGAATTTTCTCACACCACAACTTGAAGGCTTTCCAGTGAATGAACACACACTTTTTCAACAAGACGGGGCAACAAGTCACACTGCAAGAATTTCAATGAATGCTGTAAATGCTTTGAAACGGGGATATAAGTTGGCCCCCTTGGTCTCTCGACCTAACAGCCTGCGACTTCTTTTTTGCAGAGTTATGCAAAACTTTCAGGCACGACTCCAAGAATGCATAAATTGTAACAGAAGACATTTAGCGGATGTAGTATTCAAAAAATATTTTTTTTGACATTTGAAACCAAATGGCTACTCAAATGTATTAAAAATTATTAAAAAAAATATTCTTTAGCAATAAAATTATTTACGAAATCTTTCCGTTTCACTGCCGGACCCTGTATAAACTTGTAATCGTCCCTGTACGACTTCAAGTCGATCAGCTCCACTTGATATCTTGAGATTAACTCCGAACTGACCATTGGTTTCACAACAATCCTTTTTAGCCACTTTGCTTCAATTCACATTGTTTACACAAATTTAAATACAACTTCATATGTTATATTTTTGTATTTAATTTGCATTTCTTTAAGCATACGTGTTCTTCCTCTATGTTCTGATATGAGTTTTGGAAAGTCAACAATTCATCATTGGTAACGTAATAATGGACAGTCCTTTCTCCTGGTTTTAATGACACAATCACCTTCATCAGAAGTTTTGAAAATGTCCAAACGTTTTAAACGTTGATAATCCAAAGGTGTACTTTATCTAATTTCACCAAACGTTTTTGTGTTTGTAACTTTACTATTTTTTACAGAATAGTGAAGTCTAGTGATTAATTTTATTTTTTTGTTTTAAGATAAAATAATGAAACCGGAAACTCACCCACGTTTAGAGCCGTTTAGTGCAGGTCAAGTGTACAATAGTAGCAAAGGACAGCAAGTTCACGTGATAGCCGCTTCAACAGACACCCACATTCAATAAAAAAATCTACAAAGCTGCTTTAAGCCAATTTTTAAAATCTAATTTATCATAAAAAATATTTTTTCGTCTCAATTTTTTATACGATTTTTTTTTAGTTAAAAGAGCCATATATTGTAAATAATATCTATTTTGTATATTTGATGTAGCCTTTAAACACGCTGATTAAAAAACAAATTTATTGTAGTATAATTAAGTTTTTTTCATATAGAAATTGAATCTGTAATCATATTCATTTTCTCATTTTGTACTCTTATTATTGTGCCAACATCCACGCGATTATTTAATTTAGAAAAAAGCAAGTAAACACTACTCATCACGTTTTCGGCCAAATCGCGTTACTTTTTTGACAAATATCATGAATACTCAGACGAAAGATATTGCTATACGTTTGTTTAAGTGAACAATGATGCTAAGTAGAGGGTTATTGTTAATATTTTTGTTGGATTCAATCTAATTGAATTGTTTTATTCTATAGAATATATTGTTCTTTATTTTTTCATTCTGTTTTTTTTTGGTAGGAGGTTTTTGTATATTCTAAGTGCAAATTATATTTTTTACTGTTACAGGTTTTTATTTATAAAATAGTTCATGTGTATACAATGTATATTGCAGGTGTATATATCTTATACTGTGTAATTATTACTTCAATAAAAATAAATTAAATGGATGATAGTTTTTTTAAATTCTTTAATGTCCTAGCTACTAGGTAATATAAAATTTATATAGAGAGTGCTGGAAATTCACTCTACGCCTTTTTTTTATCGAGAACAATACTGACATAGTACTTTCTGACAATAAATATTGGTAAATAACGCAACATAAGTAAATTCAGTTCAGTTAACTCCGTTGGGTTAATTACGTTCGTTTTATCGCTTGACCAAAGAAGAAATTCCCAAATATTATCATTTATGAAAACTTTAATTTCAATATTTGAACATTGAGAACACGAAAAACCTTTCTATTTGGATAATATTATCAAAAAAAATCCGAATTCTGTTAACGCAGTAATGCAACACGCGAAAACGGCTGTTGGTAATATTAGTTATTATTACTGGCAAAGCGCGGATCAATTGAAGAATTAAAAGGAAAATCTTTAATCGATTTAAACATCGATGACAACATAGAACCAAATGAAGATACAGATATTGGTGAAACAACTGATTTTAATCAATTGGATGAAGCTACAGAAGGTACTAAAAAAGTGCAAAACAAACAATATGAACAATTAAATAAATTTTTTTTCTATATTATGCATAGCACAATTATGTAACACCTAGTAAATACATACTAATTAGTTATTTATTTTTAACGCCAAATTAAACTAGATAATGTTTTAAACTAAAATTAGAACTAAAACTAGAACTTAACACTAGAAACTTTCGGGTTTTGCTGTGCGTCTTTTAATAAAAGGTTTGACACTTCGAACCAGTTGAAGGTAGCAGTTGCGGTATCTAACGATATAACAAAAAAAACGGTTTTTTCGAGATATTTAGTTAGCCATGCATTTCATCCAAAAAACAAAAAGCTCAATAAATTGAGTTCATGATACTGCAATTCTTTCCCTATTTAATCGTCTCTCTATCTCCGCTAGTTTTCGAGATCTCCATACTAAACATGGAAAAAAAACTCACCCTGTATACCAGGGTGCATTCACTATGCACCTTAGTACTTTGTTCTGGAATCTTTGAGTCAGACTTGCATTTGTCTTACAGGTACAAACCCACAGTTCGATTCCGTATGTCCATTTTGGTTTTAATACTTGCTTGTATGTATATATGTATGGATTGGGAAGTGCATGCAAAACTGCACACCACAGTTAGGCCCCATTGGGCCCCTTGTGCATCCTCCCATTACACACTCTGGTCACATCAACCAGCCTGAGGATTTACCAAAGGCTAGGACAGCTCCTAGAGGTGCATTCCTGATGTCATCTGTGGTTGGCCATTCCTCCCTGAAGGTCCTCATTCTGAGGTCGGCCAGAGAGGGGCAATCACACAAGATGTGTTTAGCCGTCTCGTCATCCTGTTCACAGGCTCGACAGAGAGGGGAGTCAGCAAGCTTCATGTTTTGAAGGTGTTTATTTACTTTACAGTGTCCCGTGAGGAGACCTGTGGCAGTGCGAAGAGCACTTTTACCGAGCCCTACGAAGAACTGGGCTGTTACGGCTGAAGGATATTTTAACAATTCCTTGGCGAGATGACAGCCCGCGGTACGGTCTCATTCGTTTAAAAATTTTTTGTGGGTAATGCGCTTTATTAATTCGATATGAGTGGCTAAGGAGAGGGTAATTATCGGCTCGGGTGCACAGGGCGCTCTACCGGCAGCACGTTTGGCTACTTGCTTGTATATTAGCAACTTGTTTCTTAGTGGTAGCGTTGATTTTCTGCCAATAAGCCAATATAGGTGTCTAAGTTTAATATCAAGTTCCTCACGTTTTTTATTGACTTGAGCTTTCCATTTGAGTTTGGCATCCAGCGTCATACCAACATATTTTGCGATATCGGCGTAAAGGACTGCATTGCCATTTATATGTACTGGGACATAGTTTACTTTCTTATAAGTAAAGTTTATGTACATATGTTTATTTGTATTTTTATTAGTTTATTGTTTATTTTATTAGCCATCGTTCGGTTCAGTTTTCTATTGAATTTAAGGCCAGTGGTAACTTATTTGCTGCCACTACTTCATTTTCTGCAAAAGCCAAAATCGCTGTGTCATCATCAGTTCAAGTGTCTGGTGCCTGACGAAGGTCGAATGTGTAGAGTAAGTACAGTGTTGGGCCAAGCACACTACCTTGAGGAACTCCGGCTCGTATTTCATGTAGTGGTGAATAAGCGTTTTAGTATTTTACTCTAAAATATCGAACAGAAAGATACGATTTTAATAGTTGACTATACGTTGATGGTAGTATTTGGTCTAGTTTGTAATTTAAACCATCCAACCAGACTTCGTCGAAAGCTTGTGCAACATCCAGAAATATGGCGGAACAGACTTTATTTTCTTCCATTGCTATTTCGATAGTATTCGTTATTCTAGGCACTTGGTCTATTGCTGCATGTTTATTCCGAAACCCAAATTGATGTGTTGGTATTAGGGCCTTTTCTTGTATGACAGGTTTTAGTCTTTTTAATAGTGAATTTTCAAGCAATTTTGATAGTAAGGGTAATAATGAGATTGGCCTATATGATGTAACATCTGTGGGGGGTTTACTAGGTTTTGGTATCATTATTATTTCAGCAACTTTCCATATTCTTGGGAAGTATTTCTGTTTAAATGCAGCATTAATTATGTGTAATAGTTTTGTAATCGCCCGTTTTGATAGATGTTTCAATGTTTCTCCATTAATTAGGGCATAGCCTACTGATTTCTTTATTCCGTGTGATGATAAAGTTTGGAACATAATTCATAATTACATTATTTAATATTTTCAAGAAAAACGCTTGGACAGGTCAATTTTATTTTTAAAAAAGTCAACTTGTGACATAAAATTTTCATGTACATATAACGTGACCTATTTCGGAACCCCATTTTTTTTTTGCTGTTTTTTTACATAACAATTTTTTTGAAAAAATAGCACATTTACTTCAATACGCAGATGACACGGTGTTAATATCTCATGACCGTACTTTGAATGGAGCAATAGAAAATCTTCAAAATCTGATGGAAAAAATAGAAAGCTGGTATAGGACGTGGCGTACTCAAATTAACCCATAAAAAACACAGTTATTATTACCATTCCATAGAATATCTGATAGATCACCTAAAATATCGATAGCTAATATGTTGATTACTCCAATTAAGGTGTGCAAATATTTAGGAATTGATCTAGATAACAAATTAAAATTTAATATTCACGCTAAAAAATCTAAAATGAAATCTAACGCTAGGGCGAAATATTTTAGATGTTTAACATATAAAAACAGAGGCATCAGTTTTAAATGCGCAGTCCACGTTTATAAAACCATTTGCAGACCGATTTTGGATTATGGAGCATCAATTTTGTGCCACGTAGGAAATCAAGCCAGACGAAATCTTGAAGTTGCCGAGAGAACGTGTTTAAGATGCATAACAAAACTAAGAAACCCTAGAAATCCACTTTATAACCCATCGAATGAACTTTATGAGAAATGTAATATAACACCAATTACAGACCGAATAGTTGCACTTGCTAATAAAAGGAATTTAAAAATAGCTGAAAACCACAGTCTCACATCGCTATTTCTTTCGGATAACAACCCTTTACTGAATGTCAATTAGTTATTTGTTGAAGGATATGAAGTAAATTATAATTATTATATGGATGAGAGTTCAGCAAGGGCAGGAGGACCTTGGTCGAGAGCCCGTTCCGGAGAATATGAGAATATAATAAATTTAAAATATAATTGTAAATAATGTTTGTATAATAATTGTAATTTCGGAATAAATACTTTTACTACTACTAGCACATTCACTTTAAAAAATAAAAAAATAACTTTAATGGGGAAAAAGTTACGTTTTCGTTTTTCATCCCTGGTTTTGGCACATTGTCATGTACTATTTGACAGGTACAAAGAATTCAGTGAATCAAGACCTGGTTAAATGTTAAATCGTTAATTAATTTCAATTATTTTACCTGCCATTTCAATTAACAAAATAATTAATGTTGTGTTTGCTTATTATCAAGTTCTTAATACTCGTAGTGGTGAAAGTGTAGAACTTCTTAAAGTAATTCCATTCGAAGTTAACAAAAAATGGCACATTTAACCGACCGTGAAAGAATAGTGATATTAATGATGGTTGGATATGGCGACAGGCTTAGAACTCATCAAGAAGCATGCGAGTTATTTAACCAGCAACATTCGGATAGGGCGCCAATTGTAAGATCTACAGTAACTAAATTGGTTGCTAAATTCACAGAAACGGTATCCGTAAAAAATTTGCCTCGACAAGGTCGACCTCGAGTAAGTGAAGAAGTCAGGTTGGATGTATTGGTTGAAGCTGAAAAAATCCTCACCATTCTACAAGGCAACTAGCCCTAAATAACAACGTGGACCAATCTTTCGTGGTAAAATTATTCAAAGAAGAGAAGTATCATCCTTACAAAGTGCAATGAGTTACACGAGGATGATTCAGATCGCCGTTTACAGTTTTGTGAACAATTAATGTTACGATTATCCTAATTTTCTTAACAATATTCTATTTTCTGATGCAGCCACTTTTTGCCTGAATGGAACAGTACATCGTCACAACTCCAGATATTGGTCACGAGAAAATCCTCACTGGACTCAAGACTCCCACAGTCAACGTCGAGGCAAAGTGAATGTATGGATGGGACTAATCGGACGGCGTTCCATAGGGTCTTTCTTTTTTCAAGGAATTCTTACAGCAGCAAGTTATCTAAATTTCTTGCGAGTAGATTTAATGCCAGCTTTGGCAGTAATTTTTCCAAATGATCACGAGGTAGATGTGCCGTATTAGGATATTTGGTTTCTACGAGATGGGGTGCCTTCTCACTTTAGTGTAGACGTCCGTCAATATCTAAATGCCACATTTCATGAAAGATGGATAGGGCGTCGAGGAGCAATTGAGTGGCCACCACGTTCCCCTGACTTGATTCCTTTGGATTTTTTCTGTGGGGTTACTTATTATCTAATGTTTGTTGAAATAGATTCCAATTAGTGAGTTTAT